CGTGGTCATAATTAGATTCTATTGGCTTTCCCTTGCCATTCTTACTTGTTAGTCTAATTGCTTTTTATATATTTTTCAATTGGAAAATTTTTGTATTCATGGGACGGATATTTTAAAATTTTGTTATACCTCCTGATCGTTGTGTACGTGGTAGAGGGGCTGTTGCTCAATGAAACCTCCCCCTCTGCACACATGTCAGGAGGGATAATAACATTGTGAAATAGCCTAAATATCCGTTCCATAAATATATAAAATTTCCAGTAAAAATATTATCTAAAAATCATCTAGGTCAACAATGGCAATAAAAACCCCTTGGAATCTAATTCTGCACTCGACTGTACGAGAATTGCAATGAATTGTGTAATAATTCAATAAATTGTGTAATAATTCAATAAATATTATTATTATTTGATATAACGTTTCGTTGGCGTTGTTTTCATTTAATATAAATACAATAAATATAAACTATTGTTAATATTTTATCAAATGCCTATTAAGTGCCTATCAAATGCCTTTGTAAGTCAGGTTAATTAAATATTTATTATAATTGAGATATAAAGTTCTAATATTTAAAAAAAAGATAATTAAGTTTATTTTGAAAATCATAAAAAATAATGGCTACAAATAGTAGTGTTTTGAATGAATTAAGTGCTAAAAGTGTATTATTAAGGAATTCATTCAATCGCTTTGACGACCAGTTGTTTGAAAATATATTATCGTTTCTAACATTTAAGGAGAAAGTATTGTTTGAATGCCTTTCAAAACGCGTCCAGAAATTTATTTTCACAAAACAATACAAACTTGTATTAAATCGATGGGATTCTCAAGACAGGGATGCGTTGAACGAACTCTTAAAACCAAAACTGGTCACCGATTATATGATCGGAAATTGTAATGAAAGCGGATTTAAACGCATTGATAAGCGATCTCTGAAGACATTGTTATTGAAATGTCAATCATTACAAAGTCTACAACTGGACTGTTATGTCGATTCAATTGATTTGAATTTATTTGGAAAATACTGTCCGAATGTGAAGGATATTGAGTTTGATATAATGTGTCTCTCGGCTCAAGAATTGTCAGAATTTGGTCAAAAATACGGACATTTGTACCAAAAAGTTGCAATGTATCATGATCATTTTTTGGGTTCTTATTTATATGAATTCATTATTCACTGTAAGAATATTCGTGTATTAATTTCACCCGAATATAGTGTTATAAAACTCGAAGACAACGTATATTTCCCTTCACTCGAAAGTATAAACAATTTTATGATAAATTTGAAAAATGTATCCATATTTACCTCATTGTGCGATAAATACAGGAATTGTTTGAAAAAATTTGTCATTAATTTTAGCGATGATATGAAAGAAAAAGAGTCCAAGAATTGTATGAATAGTTTGTCATTATTTACACAATTAAATTATTTGGAAATATCTTTCGTGAGACTTAATGAAAAAATTGATTGGATTAGTGAATGCATTACTCAATTATCGAGAAATAGTTCCCAATTAAAGGTTATCGATATATCGTGTTATTCAACAAGTTTTGAATCTCTATTTGATTTAGCTTATTCATTTCGAGAATTTTGTCACCTGGTTAAATTAACTTTATCTATATACAATCTGGATCCAAAAGAGATTAGCCCATTATATGGTAGTGTGAAATGTTTTAAAAATAGCAATCATCTCAAATCACTGACCATTAGAAACAGTTTAATTGCGGAAACTTTCTTTGAAAACATTCACCAAATTTTACCAAATTTACGTGAATTAGAAATTAGTTGTGAATCAGAATTTACGGATAAATCTATTCTAGCCTTTTCTCGACTCAAAAAACTTCGTGATTTTAGTTTTCATAGATTATATAAAAACAACAAATTAATAACTGATGAAAGTATTTGTGAATTAATTAAAATGTGTCCTAAAATATACTTCGGTTCGCGACCTATGATTACGGCCACAACTATTCAATGTCTCATCAATTGTGCCAATAATAAGCCGACGATTGAGTTTGACTTCAATTGCCGTCTCTTTATTGATGGCACAGAAAATGATTTCACTAATGCATTGGATTTAACAGAATTTGCGGATAAAATACCCGAAAACTTGACATTAAATATTGATCAAAACCTTGATTGAATTATAATTTTTATAATCAGAATAACAATAAGACCTGAATTGTATTTTAATTTTTATAAACATGTTAAATTAATTTATATATATTTATTGAATTTAAATTAAAATTTTTTTATTTAATTTCATACACAAAATAAATTTTGTTTAACAATACAATTTTTGGAAATTAATTAATTGTGATTATTATAAGTTTTTATCGCACATTAGTATTGATTTTATATTAAACTTAAAATAATAATACAGTAAATTTAAATCTAGATCTAACATATACTTTACATACTGTAATATCTAATAATATTATGTAACATGCAAAGCATTACATTATATTATAAATTATAATTTACAATGATTATAATGTGTAATAAGTTACTTTATTTCTTATCAAAATTTCTATCAATTGTGACACTATTTACTTTAATAAATCGTTTTGTCAGCGTTTTTATAGAATAAAACATTATAAATATATTTCATTATTAATAAGTTATTAATTTAATAACTCTTAACTTGTGTTCATTTGTTAGTTAAATTAAATTAACACAATTGTAATAATATTTTTAATATTCTTCATACAATTGTTACAAACAGTACTTTACTGTTATAATCGTTATAATAACTACAACTAATTTGATATAATTATAACAATTATTACAAAATCATGGTCACAAATGCCGGTGTATTGATTGAATTGAGTGTTGAAAGAGTTATAACAAGAGATTCATTTAACCGTTTCGACGACCAGTTGTTTGAAAATATATTATCGTTTCTAACATTCAATGAAAAAGTATTGTTTGAATGCCTTTCAAAACGTGTCCAGAAATTTATTTTCACAAAACAATACAAACTTGTATTAAGTGATTGGATGCCTGAAGACCCGAATGTATTGGAAAAGCTCTTAAAACCAAAACTGATCACCGATTATATGACCGGAAAGTGTAATGAAAGCGGATATAAACGCATTGATAAGCGATCTTTGAAGACATTGTTATTAAAATGCCATTCATTACAAAGTCTAGAACTCGAGTGTTTTGTCGATTCAATTGATTTGAATTTATTTGGCAAATACTGTCCAAACGTAACGGACATTGTATTTAACATAATGTGTCTCTCGGCTAAAGAATTGTCAGAATTTGGTCAAAAATACGGGCATTTGTACCAAAAAGTCACACTATATTACGATCACTTTTTGACCGCATATTTGCATGAATTCATTATTCACTGCAAGAATATTCGTGTATTAATTTCACCCGAATATAATGTTTTGAAACTCGAAGACAACGTATACTTCCCTTCACTCGAAACCATTGACTTTATTCGCATAACTCAAGAAAATATACCGATATTTACCTCAATGTGTGATAAATACGGGAATTGTTTGAAAAAACTTACCATAGATTTTAGGGACGATTTGAATAATAGTGAGATCAAGAACTGTATGAATAGTTTGTTATTATTTACACAATTAAACAAATTGCAAATTTATTTAGGGAAATATAGTGAGAAAATTGATTGGATTAATGAATATTTAATTCATTTGTCGAGGAATTGTCCGCAAATGAAAATTCTTGATATAATGTGTTTTGCGGAAAGTTTCAACTCATTATTTGACCTAGCTTATTCGTTCAAAGGGTTTGCCAATCTGGTTAAATTTAGTTTAGATATAGATATAGGGATTACTGAATCAATTAGACTATTATACGGTAGCGTTAAGTGCTTAAGAAAAAGCAAAAATCTTAAATCCCTAAACATTAGAAATCATTTATTGCCGCAATTATTCTTTGAAAATATTGACACAATTTTGCCAAATTTACGGCAATTAAACATTTGTTGTGAATCAGAATTTACTGATAAATCTATTCTAGAGTTTTGTCGACTTAAAAAACTACGAGAATTTCATTTGACTAGTTTCACAAAAAACCACAATTTAATAACTGATGAAAGTATTTGTGAATTAATCAAAATATGTCCCAAAATATACTTCTGTTCCCGACCTATGATTACGGCCACAACTATTCAATGTCTCATCAATTGTGCTAATAATAAGCCAAAAACTGAATTTCACTTCTATAGCGGTCTCGCAATCGATGGCACAGAAAATGATTTCATTAATGCATTGGATTTAACAGAATTTGCGGATAAAATACCTGAAAATTTAACATTAAATCTTTATCAAAATGATGATTAAATATAAATTACTTGTAAATAACTTTTAATATTTTATTAATGTACACTATATTTTAATTGTTTATATTTTATAATGCCTTAACTCTTATAATTTTAACATAGTAATTATCATAAATATTACCTGGTAATAAATTAATATTTAATATACTTGTGCTGGTTATTTAAATATACATATTATAAACGTTATATTTTACTTCATCATTGTACTTCTCTCACATTACTGTAATCGTTTTTATATACACAAATTTACACAAAACTATAAAATATAAATAATTTGTATTTTTCTGGTAAAATGAATAAAACTTTTAATACAATCTTCAAAATTCAATGGTTTTCAAAATGTTGTGGAAAATTTACAAACAATGTGTATAACTGTTCACTGATTTATGGAATAATACTGTAGTTATAAGTTGTAAGGTATATAATAAATGTATATTACTATACAATGCTTTAGTACAGTATGTATTGATAAATCAGTCAATAGTCACACACATGTTATTGAATGACATTTAAAAACACATAGTTTATGAAAAATCTTAAAAATTTAAATGAAATTAAAAGTGAAAATCACTGATAGAGAGGACAGTTGTATAAAAATCCCAATCACTATAGACTCTGGGCTCAAAATTGATGCCAATAGAGTGCTATCACTTGAATAGTAGGTTTGAAACACACATCAAAAAGTTGTGAATTTGTTTTTTTTGGTTATAATTGTCTTAATTTTTCATCGAGTTAACCGAGTTATAGTGATTGTCCCGTTTGTTGGCCACAATCCTCCGCAACGACAATGACCAACAAGACTAATGTCCGCTCATCGGCCGCAGCGGCGGCGGCGCCGCAACTGTCTGTCACCGCTATGTTTGACGACATGTGTCGGTCCGGCAATGCATTGGTGGACACCACTGAGGATGAGAGTGAGTACAAGACATATGACACGACAAAAACAATTACAAAGTTATAGCTTTAATTGTATTCATTATAAATGTCTTATGATTTACAAGAGTTCGCACAACTGGTGGTCAACTTTGAGAGCGTTCGGTGTCTATGGCTTCAGACCCGAAATGAGTTGATTTTAACGCAACAGAAGGTAACGGATATGACTGAAGAGAGAAATAAATTGGAGGAATCACTGAAACGGCTTAGACTTGGTTTTGCCAAAGAGCTGAAGGAAAAGGATTTCCATCGAAAGCAATCAAATCTACTGATGAAACAGTTGACTGCAATTAAAGACTTTGTGTTGAATGAGACGGACAGCAGTCCCGAAGAGACCAGAGACCGGCTCCTGTCGTACATACCTCTGGACACTGTACTCGAAGAACACGAATCCGATAACTCGTTCGAAGACCTGCTCTACGATAAGAGCGGAGATGATATCGTCGACGAGTCCACCAAACATACGCTGATTCGCAATAGTTTGGCCCCAAATACCGCTGAAACCACACAAATGTATGCGAAATGCGATTAAGAAATGATGTGTTAATTGATTTTGAAATTTTTTAGACCAACTTCTATGGATGTCGTGTCCATCAGTACCGAAAAGTCTGACACAAATCTTCGGCGAAGTAAAAGCGATACGAGTCTCACGAAAGCTGATCCAACAGATAATCGAAAGACCATTAAATCGGTTTCGGACGCCATTGATGTCGGCAAAGAAAACATTGATATCCGGTATTTGATGAGTACTCCGGCACTGAAGAGGCCGTCATCGGCAGCGCTGACATCGCAACAATTCCTCTCAACGGTTTCCCTTAAGACTGGATTTGCTGTTAAGGCACACACTTTTCAGACCAAACGGGCGATCACTTCCACTAAATGCCGGATCTGTAACAAAGGGATCACTTTTTTGTCCCATTATGTGTGCTGTGAAGTGTGTCTCGGGTTGGCTCACAGTCAGTGCAAGGATCGGCTGCCCATACCTTGCATACCATTCCGGAAGCAGACCTCAAGCAAACACCTGACGGCCAGCTCTACGCGACACATGTCACTGATCGCCGACTTCGCGCCCGACATCCGACCAATGGTTCCCTCAATTCTGGTGCATATATTCAAAGAGATCGAGAGCCGCGGTCTTCACGAAGAGGGCATTTATCGGAAAGCGGGCGCCGAAGTGGCGGTCAAAGAGTTGACCCGAAAGCTGGTTAACCCGAAGACCAGAACCCAATTGTTGGAGTCGTACGACATTCACCTTCTGGCGAATGTTGTCAAACAATTTCTGCAACAATTGGACGAACCGCTTATCACTAAAGTCTTGTGGAGGGATTTCATACGCGCTTCAGGTCTTTAGATGTGTTTTTTTTATTAATGAAACGATTGTCTAAAATATGTGCCATTTTTTTTGTGTGTTTGCCGTTTTGCAGACCAGAAAACCAAGAATGATATGACTTCACTAATGCTGACCACAATGGATGAGATGCCGGCCGCTAATTGTGACAGTTTGGCGTATCTCATGTGTCACTTACACCGTGTGGTCAAAGAGTCCAATAAGAATCTGATGAACGCCAAAGCGTTGGCCAAAGTGTTTGCGCCGACAGTTGTGGGCCATTCGGACGCCACCGTCCCGTCGGCTGAGATGGTGTCCCGAAATAGGGCTCAAATTAAACTAATGGAGGCTTTCTTCGCCATTCCGGAGGAAGAGTATCGAAAACTATTAGCGGACGCCGAGTTGTCATACAGTACTTGTGGTAAATATTCACGCGGATCTGATTAATGGTAGATATGGTGTTCGTAATGATGACATAATTTTGCCCATATTTAGGCACAAACACGAAGTGGTCGCCGAGCCGTCGACGTAAGCGCCGATCGTCTCTCGCAAACACCGGTCCACTCACTCCCATCCGATCTTCACTCATGCCTATCAAAGAGTCCGAAACTAACCACGAATTGAAGCCTTTATTTTAATAGTTGTTTAATTATTTAACCCGTTTTTAATTCAATTTAATATATAATGTGTTTAAGGTATTTATATTTTATACAAATTATTAGCAATCATTGGGTAAAGAATTTTTATACTTTTAAATCAATTTACAAAAATTAAACCATTAATCGATTTTACAATTGTTTCAGAATCACTAAACTTTTATTATTTTTCAATTGCTTTTATTACACTAATATTGAATTTTGAGTGAAATAAATACACAACACTTTTAATAATGAATTATAACTTTTATTTTTATTTCATTCATTACAGAGAATAAGATATAATTTG